TCTCTATATATATATATATATACATACATATGTGTACACAGAGCCCCTCCATACTATATATTTCAAGGACTGTCTATCTTACTATATACATATATATAATATCTAAATTTTCTTAACAATTTGTATGATTGTTAGTTTATTTAATCAAAACATATTTTAGTATATTTCGTACTCGTGAAACTCGCGTGGAAATAGAGACCAAGAAAGACCAAATTTTATTATAAAAAATATGATATATATATATATATATATATAAGAAATCGAATAAATATGTATATATACATATATCCTAATAATTGTACTGCCTCAGAATTGGGATGTGAAATTTCATGCTTAAATAACAGACCCTTTATCTCGCTTTTCCTCGCAATTAATATTCGGATCATATCACAGACAGAATCTAAAACATGGATGTGTGGGACCCACTCTCTGAGCTGATTAAAATGGGCCCCGCATTGATGGGCCCGATTTTAAATTAGGATATCAATCATCTCATATGAAACGGGCCCATTTCTGTAATTATCACGACCAACCATCAAATTATGGAGTAATTCACAAAATTGGCCACAGAAGTTTTGGATTTTTGTTCTGTAATTATATCATCTTGTTTTGGTATGTTTTATTGTTGGAAGATAAAATGTTGAAAAATCGAAACATATAAAAAAAATTGATCTGATTGATATTTGTGGGCCATGGGGTATTGAAATTGATGATTAAAAAATTAAAGGGGTTATCTAGTAACAACACTGATCAGGGGTCTAAATAGCAATACTAGGAATTTGTGGTGTAATTTTGAGATTTAGAAAATTTCAGCCTGTTTTTGGAAAATAAAAAACATTCCGCTTGGCTCGCCATAAAGTTTGGTCGTTCAGGCCTCTGTGTTTCTATCTCCTGCAGTGCCTGCATTCTCAAACGACACATCAACCCTGGGGCTGGGGATATACATTTTACATATAAAAAATAAATCTAGTTAGATCTAAATGACAACCAATTTTATCCAATCAAATATAAAATAAATAAAAATTGAATAAAAATTTCTTTATTTATTTTAAAATAAAAATCAAATCCAAACCCTGAAAAAACTCAATTTTAAACTAAAAATTAACATAATTTTTCACAGAATACAAACTAAACCATAGAATAATCAAAACATCGATTAATTAAAATATACCTCCCTAAATTAAATACAAATTTCCATATAAATTTGATATACCGTAGCCCGCATAATAATTATTAAAAATATACCAGCATATGTTATGGGCACAGACACATGGACAGTCCAACGAGCAAATATAAATAATTTTTTTTATATATAATAAATACTATCCAATATCATCATATCCTTGTTGATAAATCAGCCATGTGCCTTATTACAATACAATGTATGGTGAGTCAAGAGTGTGGTTGGCTGGCTCAACTGGTAAGTGGGTTTAAATCTCATCTTTGGCAAATCACATATTATCAAAAAAAAAATACAATGTATGGTGTAAAATTTCTACGGCCTTTAGATTTGATCCATGTTTCTCTGCTTTAGTCCAATCTCGTTTGAAAATGGATTATGGGCCTGGTCCAATTAGCTATGGTTGATCTTTGCATTGCCCACATCTCCATAATTTTTTAAACCTTTTTTCATTTATTTTTTATATACAAAAACGAAAATTCAATAATATATCTTGTATGAAAAGTAAATATTAATTCAAAACCGACTAATTTTTTTAAATTCAAATAATGGAAAACCCATATAAACGATAATTTATTTATAAAATTAGTATTATAAACAAATGAAATCTAAAATAAAAAATAACAGATATATATTTTTTTAAATAATTAATAGATTAAATTAGAAAATAATAGAACAAAATCCAAAATCTCAACCTCGAGTCAACAAACACCCGGTATATACGGTTTTTCCAAAACCAAAAATATAAACAAAAACAAACCGTAATCCGAAAGCTAAATCCCAACTCGTCAATATTCCCACTTGGGTTAGTGTAATTAAAAGTATGACACCACTATAATAAAGTTAAAATTAAAATCATCCAAAGTTTTGATTTGATTGGATAATGTGTGTGTTAAGGTGCTTATATTGGCGTAAGCAGAAGAGTATAAGATTCCAAGTTTGGTATTTGTCATTGTTTTTGTGATTACGACCGACCACCATTTTCTAGTTTTAATAAAGTTTTTTTATAATAAAGTTGTAATAATTAATATTTTACGTTCCTTTTTGTTTTCTTTTATAGAATGGCTTTACCATGCTTCTACTCAAAAACCCATTTTGCATGATTTTTCTTCATGGTTTTTGAAGAACTATGATTGAGAGATTGATGACTTGTCCAAGCAAGCAAACGATGCCAGCTCACCGGATAATATTATAACGTATAACGGTCCATTTGAATTTCATTTATCTATTTAAAACCGTATGTTCCGTTAAAAAAAAAACATGTATAAATGACCATATCAAAAGCATATGATACACTTTATGATGGGATCAGAAAGTATAAATCAAATAAAGCAGTTTTGTGATAATTTTATGAGGGAAAGCAGTTTTATTAAGGATTTTACATCTAAAAAATAAGTATGTGAAATTATATTGATAGATATGTGCGTGTGCGCGCGATTGTTATATAAATATAACTAAAAATGTTTGACTTATTAAAATATGGGAGATTTTTCACCAATATCCAAAGTTATCATCATTACAAAATTTCATGATTTGGGTCAAACTACCCATACGTAGATGCCCGCTGCCCGTTCCATTTATCTTTATGTAAATAAATAAAAAAAATAACGTATAATCACGAAAATAAAAACGATCGACTTACATAACTACGAGCTGTCCGAATAGTTGACCGATATTGTGGGGGGAAATATTAATGTTGCGCACATTTGAAAAGTATGCTAATGTACTATATTATAATGTCCGTTGGTCCAAGCACCTACATTAATATACAAATTAATGGAATACTTTAATTTTAGGCAATATAACCCAGTTATGGTTATTGTGGTTACAAGGCCTAAATTCAGTCCAATCAGACACGGGGACAGGCACCCACCGGACATTTAATTTTCTCAACAACAAAAATTATATTTAAATTAGAAGAAAAATGATTACATCCATGTTAATGGCGTTTATGTATTTATAGATTTATACATCAACAGAATAATCTAATAAACAAATACTGACTTATCATACAGGGTACAGAGCCCGGAATCACATGGCAACATGGACCTACAGTATTTGAACGCATTAAAAAAATCCGTTACACACAAGGAAGCTTTATCGAAAAAATTAAATATTATTTCTCTAAAATTTTAAAATATCTTTCCTATTCGAATCAAAATCCCATTCCGAATTTCAGAAAAACCCGCTTCTAATAATAAACCTCTGGCGCTTTGCGCTGTAAACCCAATAATAATAATAAAAAGAAATCGTATAAACCAATATAATGATTTAGGGTTTTATTTGAAATATACAAAACCTATATAAGCTTTATCGTCGTATCGAATATTTAAACCGACCGATCATTACCGACGATGAAACTGTCGTGTTCGGACGAGGAACACGAGGTCGAGACCGGAGCCATGGCTTCATTGCAGTCCGATACACTGTCTTGCAATGTGTTCAAAAGCTCCGACGTGCTAAAGCTCAACGACGGCTTCGCCGTCGGAATCACCGGAACTTCCGCTTCTCCGATCAGAATCTGGACCACACCTCTCATCGTGGGCCGGGCCGTCGGGTCCGGATGCGAACATGCTAGGCCCAATGACAGAACCCGGCCCATTTCGACCTCGTCGTAGCTGTTGTGTAACCTCTCGTCCGCAGCTTTCAGAAGCTTCCCATCTCTGTGTAAACCCCACACCCAATCCACCAAACTCGACTTTGACCCGAACCCGGATCCATTGTCTCTCGGGATGGGTCGTCGTCCCGTGGAGACTTCGAGGACTACGGCTCCGTAGCTGAAAACATCGGTTTTCTCCGTGGCCCGACCTGTTAATAGATACTCCGGCGCTAAATACCCCATTGTTCCGGCGGCGGCTGTGGCGTCCGGCGACTTGTCGTGCTCTGTTTGCCGGGCGAGACCGAAATCGCCTAATTTCGGGTTGAACCCTTCGTCGAGCATGATGTTGCTGGTTTTGATGTCCCTGTGAATGATCTGGTTCTCGCATTCTTGATGTAGATAGGCCAAAGCCGAGGCCACACCGAGCAGAATTTTCCGGCGATGAGGCCACGGCAACTGTGTCGGAGAATCGAAGAGGGCTTTGTCGAGAGAGCCATTGGGCATTAGATCGTAGACTAACAGAATCTCGCCCTTTTCGTGGCAATAGCCCTGTAGCCGGAGAAGATTCCGGTGTCTGAGTGTTCCGATTATGGATAATTCCGACAAGAACTCCGTGTTTCCCTGAGAAGTGTGGCTACATTTCTTGACGGCGACAATGTCCCCGGAATCTCGTAAAACGCCTCTGTACACGGTTCCGAAAGCACCGTGGCCGATGACCCTCGCGGAGCTAAAGCAATCGGTGGCTGATTTCAGCTCCTTGTAGCTGAATTCCCTCGGCGTTTTGATGATCGCCGATGCGAAAGATTCATCCTTTCGTGAGTATCTGATCTTCTTGGAGTAGACCCAGATCAGAACCCCGGCGAAAAGTGCCAAAAAGAATGCTCCGGCGGTCACAACACCAGCGACGGCGGCTGGAGATTTCTTGCATAGCTGGTTCCGGCAGGAAGAGGGTGGAGAAGTGCTCCTTCGCCGCACGGTGGATACCGACGGAGCCGGAGACGGCGGCGGAGAAGTGGCGGAGTCGGAAATCGGAGGAGGAGACACGCCCGGATCCGAATCGAATGAGGAACTGAAGCTCCACCACTCGATACTGTGAATCTCTGTGCTCCCTTGCGTTGACCCGGAGAAACCCACGAACATGAAATCGTTCACGTAACGATCCAAATCGAGAGGGACCGACAAAATCGGGGTCTTGGGCTTTACGTTGGAGTATGAGACGTAGACGGCGAGGATCCGACCCGACCCGTCATACGTGATCCACGAGTTCACGGCGTTTCCGCTCTTGAGAACGATATCGACATTTCCCAGATCGGCGACGGCGGCCGAAACGACGCCGTTTAGATCCAGACCCACGTGGTTCCCGTTCACGTCCTTGAACTCCACGTCCATTAGCGTGTCGAACTCAACCGCGACGAAACCTGAACCGGGCCCCGACCCGGATCCGTCGGTGAGTCCGATATATCCGCCGGCGGAGCCGATGGAGTCGTCGTCGGGGGCGATGACGAAGGCCAGTCCTCCGCCAATGGAGGACGGGTTGAGGTTTGTGATGGAGAAGGAGAAGTACGTGGAAAAACTCGCCGAAGAATGGTTTCCCGGTCGCCGGAATCTGATGGGTTTCGCGTACAGGGCTCTGCCGGCGCCGGATGTCGGGACGGAGAGGTCGCGCGTGAGTCTCACGCTCCCGTTGTTGAGGTGGGCGTCTCCGAGGAGCTTGAGGCTTGAGAGAGTCAGCGTCGCGAAGTCGAACTTCGTCGCCGGAGCCTCCGCCGGAAAATCACCTCGGACGGCGGAGAGGAAGAGGAAGGACGCAATGCGGATGATGATTGTGCAAACAGAGACGAATTTATGAGGTGGATTCAACATTTGAACAGATTTTTCATTGGATTCCCTTCTGAGGAACTGGAATTCAGAGAATTTTGCCAAGAATTAGACAAGAGGAACACCAAAGAGAGCAGACAAGAAGTGGAAGCTGAAAGTCACAAATGAAGACGACAGGTGGATCTCGGGAGCGACACGTGTCCAGATTTAACGGTTAATTTCTATCTTTTTTTTGCTCAGTGATAAATTAAGACGAGAGATAAGCTCCTCACGTGCAGGCGCGTGTGTGCTTTGTGTGGGGAGAAAAAAATAAAATAAGAGTCCATCCATATGATATAATTTATGGTATAATAATACGTCAATAATAAATAAACGATAAATTGCATTAATCCTCACTATCAAACAATTAAACTTCCAATCACTGGTAAATACTACTATAAAATTAGGTAGGTAGACATTTTTGCTTCCAATATTGGCAACTGAAATCAAAACAAAACCAATAATATATAATTATATCCAACCCAAACATTAAACTAATTAAATGAAAAAAATTCCAAAATAATATAAATGAATGAAAAATATAATTTCAAATCTGTTATTTTATTAAAAATCAAATTTGAACTAAATCAGAACAAAATTTGAATGATAAAATACGATTCTATAGAATCCAAGATTGCTAAGCATTCAATATTAGATTTGGGGGAAAAATATGAAAATATAATTCAATTTATAGTGTATGATTTAAAGGATTCGATCTAATCCATCGCATTTAAATTATTAAAAACTCTTATTTTAATTAGATGTTAACATTTTATAGAGTGTACTTGCAGCAAATAATTATAACAATAATAATGTACAGTCACGAACATGTCGAAAGCTTTATTGACTTTTCTATACGCATTGTACCCGTTTCTTCAAAGCCACTTTCCTTCGTGCTTTTAATATAATATTTGTTTTTCGAATAAAACTGTGTATCGACATGATCGACGTACCAAAATATTTCAATATCACAATAATTATTTATTTTTTTCTAACAAAAACCACCAACGTAGCTTTCGTTTTCATACCGCCTCGATGCTGATCTGTATATTTCTCAATAAATATTGTATTTATAAATATGTGCATACACATGTACGTATATGTAATATTTTTTTTCTTCAAATTTTAATGAAACTAGTGTTATTTTTTAATTAACAATAAATACCAATAAATTAATTTAAGACATCGGAGTTGCACATTTGCCCCAGGCACCCAGAGCCAAGCCCAATAAGGAGGTTGTCACCACTAATGGGCTTAATTGGGCCTATTAGGTGGAATAAGAATGTTATAATATATATATATATATATATATATATATGTATATATAATTTTAGATGTCTTAAAACATGTTATGCTACAATAATTAAATATTTGTTAGAAATACAAAACATGAAAATCCTGATCTCCCAACATTGGCCAACCATGTTTTTCTTCCATTAATGTCAGCTTCAAAAGCTCCGATACAAACCCTAATACCCTAAGAGATCGAATATGGTCTGTTTACGAGTCAAACCTCCTACATATATACATCAGCCGATCCTGAATTAGTATTATATATGGTATGGTACTCTTAAGAAAATCACTTTATCGTATAAATATTGTCCTAATAATAAATATATATTTTTTTTAGATACAGCCTCCACCATCCACATATTCTATTTCCTTTTTTATTCTACAATGTTATTCCCTTACCGAATGATCTAAAGCGAAGTGGATACGGACAACATAAGAGGTATCATGTTGTGTGGAACCAATATAAGCATGTGCATGACTTCTACAATCCATATATGTATGTATGTATGTCTCCGCCATTAATGGCAGAAACCAGAGACAGTGACGCAAAGTCTAAAGCAGCTTTATAAAATATTTTATGTATATTGTGGACAATAAAAGGGGACAGATGGACTAGATTTCCAATTAATATATCTCCAACAGTGGCTCATCCAGTAGAATGTGAATGAGAAATATCTGTTCCGACCCGAGTTTGAGTCTTAAATTGGGGAGATAAGTGAATATTCTAATCACATGGCTTGTTTTCGGTCTCGGAATTAGTTTGTGTCTCAGTCCAGGACATCCGTTTATAAAAAAAAGAAAACAATATTTATTTAGGTCTGGACTACTAAATAGGTTATATGATTCTACATTAGGAATTTGCTTATGTACTCACTTGGTGTTCCCGGAGAGATTTGAACGAGGAGTAGTTTTAAACAATCAAAATTACGTTCACGTGTGAATATAAATAAAATTTAAATTTGATCACGAAAACGTTATGCATAATATATATGGCATATATATAAATATTACGAAGCTTACTGAAACATATATTAATGAGCTGTTTTCTAAGTTATAACATTTAGATTCATATTATAAATATTTGAAAAGAGTTATTATCCCGGGTATAGTCTAAATCAATTGTTTCTGTCAAGGGACTGTTTTTGTACATCCAAGAGACAAAGAAGATAGTCTGTCCCAAGTGCATAAAAGGGATAATTTATATATAGGAAAATTTTGGAATATACAAGGAATCATACATACAAGATGGTGGGAAATTCTATAGAAAAATAATAAATAATACGCAAAAAATAAATATCAAGAGGTCACCATTTCAAATCGTGGAGGAAAACGATATCATGCATATATGGTTCGAATTATTTTGGAAGTATATATTTAGGGAAGATCATTGGTGCAAATTAGGTGTGTTTCCTTACAATTTTTTTTCATATATCTATATGAATAAAATTTTTTTAATTGGTATTGGACCACACTAGAGTCCACGGCTAAGGACCTAAGGTCCCCCCCGCTGCAATAAAAAAAATGGAACATCAGTTTGCTTGTATATCATCGTCAATCCTTTTTGTAATGGTAAATATCATATTTTATGTTATATGTACTTTATTAAAATTTAATAAAGGGCATTTGGTCTAGTGGCATGATTCTCGCTTAGGGTGCGAGAGGTCCCGAGTTCAATTCTCGGAATGCCCCTGCAATCATTTTTTACACTTTTTTTTTGGCGTTATTGTTGATGGATTACATATTGGGCCAGACAGGCCTAATGGGCCTGACTACACGAGGTATCTTCTCGTTATATCGGACTTCAAATTATATATTGGACCAAATTTGATATCCATCTGTTCGAATATTCCATTTGAAAATTTTGGGGTACCCAACTCAAAAGAGATTCGATATTTGAAAATCGCAGTATTTGTTTTTTCATATGTATATATATATATATTTATATAGTAATGTGAAACTTGTTTGACTGACCAATTGTGATTATAGGACCGCGCGCCATTCATATTCGATAAGAGTTGTTACAAAGTAATATTTAAATACAACCTGTCTTAAACCATAATTTTAAATAATATCAATGCTCGTTCATTCACAGTATTTTATAAGTCGTCTGTCATTTTACACAATATTCTGATTTTATTTTATTTCAAATGGGCTTATGGGTTTTGTGATGTACAAACATACGCATATATATATACACATATTTTAGGACATTATAATAATTATTTTAATCTCTGGAGCTTTGGATACCAAATCAATCGAATGGACCAAAAAGAAAGGCTCCAAACGCATGGAGCCAAAAGAGAGGTTGGATTTTGTTATTCTAGTTTTAAAATATAATATAATCTATTTATATGTATAATTATTGTACTGGTAGCTCGGGTTACGTAACATTAATAAAAAAATTATTCGACAGAAGATTAGAAAAATGAAAAAAAAAACTTTTGAATAGGAATTGTCGGTCCATGTATTAAGTAAGTGCAAATTTTAATTTAGTTCATATATATTTAGAGAACGATGTATTGTGATCGAGGATATGTTTAATAAGTATAACGGTAGCATAGCAGAACCGTAACCAGGAAGGTTCTGAAAATACTATATATATGCTTATACGTACACTTGCAAAGATATGTATATTAGGGGTGGCCAATTCGGGTTTCGGTTCGGGTTTAGTTCGGTTATAGAAAAACTATAACCATTCGGTTTTTATATCAATTCCGGTTCGGTTCGGGTTCGGTTCGGTTCGGTTTTGGTAAAAAGTTCAATTTCCCAAAGAAATTGCCGGTTATTCTCTCGGGTTTTTCGGTTATTTTTTATTCGGTTCGGTTCAGTTTTGGTTTCGGTTTTTTTCCCAAAGAAATTGCCGGTTATTCTCTCGGGTTTTTCGGTTATTTTTTATTCGGTTCGGTTCAGTTTTGGTTTCAGTTTTTCGGGTTTAAGAAAATCATAACCGTTCGGTTTTGATGTCGGGTTCGGTTCGGATACGATTATGCCTTATTCGGTTCAGTTCGGCTCGGTTATTCGGTTAATAACCGAAATGACCGCCCTAATGTATACACATATACATATACAGTGAGATCAGCCATATAGTCGAAAGTCTTAGATCAAATGCTTTAGGTATCCCGTGATGCATCATGGATACATGATGTTGAAAACTATGTTTAGAATTGTGTATTTTTTTTTTGTAATTGTTAGAATTGTGTATTCCTTAACGCTTTACATTTATTAAATTCTTCTGCCTTTTATGAAATTTCGTTTGCCACGTTATATATGTTCATTACAGAATATATCCAAATATCAATATATGTATGTATTATTGCACATAATAAAATTCAAGAAAAATTTACTTAGTAACTTTATTTAATAAGCAAAGTTTCGATAAAGTATTGATAGAATATTGTGTCATCACCATCATCATCTTATTCGTGTATGCATCGTATGAATATGATTCATATCTTAATTCACGTTTACATAAAGTGCGGAAATTTCATCAAGATGCTACACGTTTGTTTTTAAGACCCATGCATTCGAGTACCATCAATCACCACCACCATCATCGTCATCATAGTTACCGTGATGATGATGATGATAATGATGATGACGATGACGACGATGACCATGCAAATGCATGCATTAGAATCATAGATCAAAAAGGGTCCCACAAAAGGAGACAGACAGTGAGACATGCGTCACGGACCGTCCTATCGTCTTCCTCGGGAACCCCAAGATCCTCTCTCTCTCTCTATATATATATATATATATATATGTATCACATTACAAAACATGCAACATGCTATGTCTCGGTCCAACTTGTAATTATAGCTTAATCATTTCATTCCTGATCAATTTCCTTAAAGGCAACTCACTTTAGGCACCATTTTTCTTACCTCCTTGATATTCACAAACCCTAAAAAGTACACAAATAAACAATTTTAAAAATTCAAAGTCAGAACTTTTTGAGTTCCTAAAATTTATTGGGAGTCAAATATGTTCTGAGTTTTTTTAACTGTACCAAAACTTTTGCAGCTATCTATATTATTGTTCTTGGAACAAAGAACATTTTCCTTTCTAAAATAATTTCTTGGGGGCATAAATTTTTACGTGATGATATAACATTATCTATACATCTCTAACTCTCTATATATGTAGATCCAAGAGAATATACCATTATATATATATATTGCTTAATTATTTCATACATTTTTGAAATAATACATCCCATTAAATACATTTTAAAAAATTAATCATCCCATTATTTTCGTACAACAAAATGGGATACAATCATTATATTGAGTTGATTTTTAGGAATAAATGGATGCATCATTATTTATAAAAGAGAAAACCATATGAAAAATGCAGAATGAATGAGAGTAGTATTTTTAGTTCTGGGCTATATCACCTTATTGTTTGACAAGTATTATAAGTAAATGATTTCCAATTCCAAGATTCAATTTGACTTATTTTCCAAGGCTAATAAACATAATTATCTATTTTTGTTAATATAAAAAAATTGGGGCATTTCAAGATATATTAAAATATTTAATATCTATAGTTGATCCAACATTTATCTTTCCCTCCCACTTTTACTCCACATATGTACACACGTGTGCTCATGTAAGATAAATATAGAGATGAAAATAAAATATTAAAGACATATATTTCCATTTTGAAAAAAAACTCCAGAATTTAAATCATAAAGAAAAATAACAGATCTCTATAAGAAATTCTCCGAGATCTCCATCAGTTTCCTAGACAAAGGAAGAAAAAAACAAAACTTGTTTTTTTTTTCTATATAAAATATAATCTTTGTGCCTTTGAAATTTCTTCATCTTTTTCTTGTCATTTGGCAGAACCAAAGAGTCAAGCACATCCAAACATTCCCCAAAAACCTCAAACCAAAGAACTTATACGTTCTTCTCTGCTTCTTTTCTTTTGTTCATCGTTCGTCGTCTCCCTCTCCCCCCCTCTATCTCTCTCCATCTCTCTCTCTCTCTCTCTCTTTTCGAACCCTAAAACTCTTCTTTTGTTCGTATACTGCTCTCAGAATCTCCTGATCTTCTTGTTTTCTCGCACGATTTAATTAAAAAAGACGCATAGTTCTTGTTTTTTTCCCCTCTCTCTCTCTCTCTTTTGCAGTGTCTTAAAACCACAACAAAAAAGGAACTAATAATATGCAGATGGTTCCAGGGGATCCATTTTCTTTGTCTTCCTTTGCCCATCAAGAACCACAGCTTCATCGTCTTCAGCAGAACCATGACCTTAACCCTAGCCCTAACCCTAATTCAAACCCTAACCAAAGTGCAAAACCAAACCCTTCATCCAAGAGGAAGAGAAGTCAACCAGGCACTCCAGGTACTCGCTCATCTATCTATGCGATGCGCCTACTCTACATGTATGTACAAGTATACAGAATACATTCATCCAACACATATGTGCCTTCTTCCTCATATATTTCGTTTTGATTCAAAGTTACATATGTTTCTTTTTCTTCTTAATTTATGTTATATGGAATGGCAGATATAAAGACATATATGCGTGTGTTAATTAATAACTACAACTGATCAAAAGATATATGATGAACAGATCCAGATGCAGAAGTCATGGCTCTGTCGCCGAAAACCCTCATGGCGACGAACAGATTCGTGTGTGAGATCTGCAACAAAGGGTTCCAAAGGGACCAGAACCTGCAACTCCACCGGCGTGGCCACAACTTGCCGTGGAAGTTACGGCAGAGGACGAACAAAGAGGCTGTGAAGAAGAAAGTATACGTATGTCCGATTAAGACATGTGTCCATCACGAACCTTCCAGGGCCCTTGGAGATCTCACCGGAATCAAAAAGCATTACAGCCGAAAACACGGCGAAAAGAAGTGGAAATGCGAGAAATGCTCCAAGAAATATGCCGTACAGTCCGATTGGAAGGCTCATACCAAGACCTGTGGAACTAGAGAATACAAATGTGACTGTGGCACTTTGTTCTCCAGGTATGTAACTACATATATATGTATGTATGTATGTATGTATGCATATATAACCCTACTCAATCGAGTAAGAAAAGATTGGAAAAAATTCACGAGATTCATAACTTATTATAGATATCACTTAAATCTTTGTAACGGGAACATGAAACTTTAGACATGTGTTTGTAATTAGTGACAATGAGTAATATTTTTGTCTACTTGTGATTCGGAGTGTTTAGATCTGTTTCCTTCTACTTGGTTCTGTCTTCACATGTTTGCATGGGAGAAATAAATGCTTTTTGGCCGGGAATGTCTTGTTTGTTGCTAATAATTCGGATTTAATAACATTCGCTTCTCTCTCTTCCATTATCTCATGCTCGGTATTCTGTGACATGAACTTCAGCATCATGTTTATATATATATATATATATATACACACACACACCTAAATATATCCCAAGATGAATGTATATAGTTATCATTTCAATTCTATGCTTTCTATATACATATAACCTAATGATAATATATATATATATATATATATATATATATATATATATATATATATATGAACTGTATCGCAGGAGAGATAGTTTC